TATTTATTTTTCAATTCGACTAAATGTTCACACCAAAAAAAACATGGGAAAAAAAAAACGATTCTATCGAAAGAACTGCGAAAGTAAACATTTCATCTTTATCAACATAATTACCAGATTTTGTCACCATGCAGACTCACTCCAAGAAATCTGCATTCAACCGTTCAAGGTTCTATTTTGAAATTATCTTAATAGCAGCCACCCCGTGCTATTTTTTTTATTTCATTGCATAAACAAAAGAGAAGTAAGACCGGCTAGCCTGCGTAGCAGGAGTTTCCGTGCGAGTTCGTCAAAAAGGTTGCTCTCGTATACATTCATTACGTATACCGGTTTCGACTCTACTCGCCATTTGCACATCTGCAAGCATACACCCAGAGGTAGCCCAAGCTCAATTAGAGAGTTTTTAAATCCTCAAATGGCCTTGAGCATAAAGGATTTGAATAGGAATTCAAGTCATAGATTCAAGAAGATACATAACCGCTGGATATCGTAAAAACAAAGTACATCCTAGTAATGATAGCACTCAGTTTATTGGTCACCGAATGGTCATTTTTTAGTTATGCAATCATAGGGTGCGGTGAAATGGTCATAATAAATAGTGGTTGAATGACATCAACAACATACCTGACTGAGTCGCAGATTCCTCTTGGTCTTATCATGCAGCAGCAGAACAAGCTGAAGGTTTCATGGAGGAAGGTAGCATCGATTGTATGGTCGCTGCTGTTCATACTACAAAAGTGATTAAAGAAGTTTGACTATTATCAACGGGTGTATGTCCTTACCGGTAGATGCTGGGCTAAATCCTCCCAGCAGGTTTCTATCACTCCAAAAGTCACCAACCGTAAATGATAAAATAGACGTCCGCTCCCAAATAAACGCTGCTTATTTAATAAACACCCACTCTAGAATGTTAATTTGTATTCAGACGTACGCCCCCTATGACAATTACTTCAAAATACTAGGAATTAGCAAAAAAGGAGCAAAATTTCAGCTTCTTGCTCGATTAACAATAAGGGTTGCGTATCGCATCTTGTTCAATGTCGGGTTCAAATTAAGAATAGACGAACGATGGCAACACTAAGGCCCTTAGTGAGGATTCTGACAAGGGATGAGGATCTCTAGACGACCTAGGTGGATATTTCGCTATTTTTAATTCTCTTGATATTTTCGCCGAATTCATGTTAGTTTTTTTTGGAGCTTGTTAAGCTTCGTTAGAATTATGAGAATAAACGTCTTTCTGTTTCAAAAGCCTCCTATCTATTAATGGAAGTCACCAAATTTTTTGAAATGTGCCATTTTTCCACAAAATTAATTGTCGAAATTTATCGAATTCAGCCGAAGCAGGTTTGTCAGCCGAAGAAAAAAGCAATTTTCATGTTGACGTTAAACGCCCCCTCTCGGATCCCTAAAACTGTATTGAACAAACACTCTGGGCGTCTATTACTTAGATAATTTCCGGTATACACTAATTAAGCAATAGAAAACGTTTTTCGTGTTTGCATAGCCTGATATAAACACGGGAGGGGTTGGGAGAATTCGAGACAGTCATGCAAACCCGAGACGAAGTCGAGGGTTTGGATAACTGTCAAGTAACTAAGTCAGGTAACTATGCCTGAGGTAAGATCTGGTTGCTGTGTTACTTTCTGAGGGAGCAGATGTTGATCAGCTGAATTGAGAGCAGTGGACAGCATGTTGCTGCACAACTGGAGCAGCTGGGACGAAGGACGTGTGTTGTAAGTGCGGAGGGAGTTTTCATTCCTGTGGCCAGATCTGACCACAGTGTAATCGCTGTTGCCCTTACACTGTGGTTAGTGTATATCTTTGACAGGTTGGCCGCTTTGCTGAGAATCTTCATCATATCTCAGAGCTTATCCACCCCAAGGCATCGATTCTCAAACCACACTCCTTCTTGTGGTCTCTTCCAAGAACGCTTCGGGTATTGAAAGAAAGCGCTGCATTCAGGATTTAGCTTCTCCAAATAAAGACGAAGGGCATTATATCCGTCTAGTTCGCATTTGCAATAAACGCTTTGGTGAAATACACTATCATGTTGCATAATGAAGTTTAAGTTCAATCAAATGATGCATTTTTACAAGTTTTACATGTTTTATAGGGATCAAAGTCTTGAAACTGATTGGAACACATAACAAATATTAATAATTAACATGCATTTTTACTTATTAACTGAGATTAACCGACAACCGACAAAGATCAAAATTTTTAACCGACTACCAACAAAGTAACTAAATTTTAACCGACAACCGACAAGTGGACCCCCCCATTCAGACCCTCTAATAGAGTTTTAAGAAGAGGAAACTAAAAGTTTTAGTAGTTTTAGCCTTTTTTCAAAACATTAGCTGGAATACCAATTCCTTCTTTTCGTTTATAGCCTGACTGTAGCTTAAAAGGCTGGGGATTTAATGACTTAAAGGCCATTTTGAGCCAGGTCTTTAAATCAAGTACAGCTGCCTGTCGGTATCAGCCAACAATCATTTTATGAAAGGAAAACACCCCTACGAGAAGTCCTTTTAACA